GGAGGTGAGAACTGTTTTAGATTATTTACCCAACCAAGGAATCATGCATTGGTAGCTTTTAATCCACCCTGATCAGAACTGAACAAACCGAGGGCAGGGCAGGTGGAACAGGTGGAAGGAACGGCAACCCTAGTAACTAACTCACATCATCCTCCCCTTAACAGGCATCCCACAACAAGGAACAATAGAGGCAACACAGAGGCGGCATTTAGGGCAGGCATCAGACAATACAGCCTGTCCCCTCATAAACAGAGACGGCTGGAGTACATGCTGTCTGTACTGGGAGATGCCTTTGTGAGAAATAAGCCCCGCATAGCATCTCTGGGTGACTTAATCATAGATTTAAAGACCAGGGAATGTAACACTTGAGTCATGCCAAGGCAATGAGGGTTGAAGGAACAGCTTTGAAAACTGGGTTCGGAACAGGTATGTTCCTGACGAAGACCGATATGCTTAGGTAGAATGTGGAGGCATGGAAGGGAAGCGAACAGAATTACATTTTGACTCATCCTGCTTCAAAGCTAGCGAAATTAGTTTCTCTCCACCTCTTGCCAATTTCTACCTCTTGTTGCTAACAGGAACGCTCAGCAGTCTGACAAGAAAGGTAATCAAGCAAATATCATAACTATGCAATTGCATACGGACAATGTATAATACTTTTTCCTCTGCTCGGTTTGCATAACTGTTCCAATCATCTCGATTTATTACTTTTTTGGCGGTCCTAAGCTATAAGCTGCTTTAAAGCTTGACATATTTCCATGATATCAGAAAGCTGATCAGATTATTACACCCCCCCCATACACACAAAAAGTCCCAGCTGTGGTTCCTGTATTTAAACATTGGTCTATATCACATAAATGCAGCTTTAAAATCTTGTAATTCTGACACAGCAGTCAAAATACCATTTAATTTCAGAGGGGAATAGATTGTAAATGTTGGCCAGCACCTATTGTTTGTCATTGGGGGAAAAAGTCCCAAAATGCCACTGACGATTTTTAGTTATTATGGAGGCCAGACAGGGAAACCCCTCTACAAAAAGCAAGAAAAGAGAGTTTAATTGATTTTGAGATGAATAATAGAGAGCAAAAAAGATATAGATTGGAGGCCCTAAGTCAAGGAACATGAGTGCTGCTTGATGGTCGGGTCCTAAAATCATCAGTCAAAAAGTATTATGCTCCTGTTTTTCTTTCCTTAATTGATTCGCTGTTGTCAGGGGAAAAAAGAAGTAGTGGGAAATCATGGGAGGATTACAAATGGAAGTTGATGGCGTCTGGACTCACCAAAAAGAGAGAGCATATATTGGAGGCTGGACCATCCCAGAGTATAAGCATCATCTCGAAGTACCCTGTAGCCAAGGTTTTATGCAAGTCATCAAGGGGTTTTGTGGTTCCATCTGCGCTCTTGTAGGCACTCACAGAAATCTCTGTGTCTTTATTCACACAGACACAAACACATATAATATTGGCTATTGTTGGGTGGGGTGGTCAAATATGGCTCGCGTCCATTACGGAGGAGACCTAGGCTTGAAATAGAAAGGGCACGGCAGGCCAGCAGTTAGAGGAACTGGACGATCTGCCTGGGGAGCTTGAATGGCAGCCTCTGGCACTTTTCCTTGACTGCCGCCAAAGCCATTAGACTCTTGGCCTGACATTTGAGCCTCAAAGTGAGTTCCATTGTCATAACATACATTAAGGACAGCCGCGGGCATAGCGAACAATTCTGCCACCTTACATAATGCAAGTGGGTTCGTGAAGATTATTTGGAGGTACGCAACCAGATGTCCTGCTTCAGAGTGATTTCTATGTACGTTTCCGTTTACTTTTTATTTTTAAACATGGCTAGTTGCATTCACTCATGCAACGCACCAAGGAAGGTAGAGGGCATAATGAACACTGTACTGAGCGCTTCATTTTAATTTATGAAATGAGAGTGATGGGATCTGATTGAAGCCACATTCTATTCCATGGAGTGATTTCCTTCTGATGCTTGGTGACTGCTACCCTTGACTGGCGAAGGGCCTGGCATGATGAGGGGCAAAGCATGAGCTGAGTCAGGGGCTTCTGCATGGCAAGGATCAGGTGCCATCTGAATGGGTGGGGCAGGGCTAGAGACAGGATGGCGTGGGAATAAGATGGGAGGGGACTCTCCCCAGTTAATATTTTGCCACCCAAACTAAAAACCTTATCCAGGAAGAAGACATTTGTACTGGCCCATGATACCAGATTGGAGCCCTGGGAAGGGAGAAGCTAGTCAGCTTGCTCCACGAGAAAGCCATCGTCACTCGCTGGTGTAGCTCACGACGAGCTGTGCAAGAGCTGCCCAGAGAGTTTTGCAATTTTACTTTTAGCTGCTCAAATCCTGCTGGACAGCTCCTTGGCTGGTCCAGGACTCCACTACAACAGGCTTGCTTTGTGTTAGTCAATGTTAGAGAGTTCTGGGACAATTGCCCCATGAAATCCTCGTCAGGCCGGATCAGGTCAAGCAGAGGTGGGGCAAAAGAACAGAATGAATGAATGAATGAATGAACGAAATCCCCGTCAGGCTGGATCACGTCAAGCAGAGGTGGGGCAAAAGAACTGAATGAATGAATGAGTGAATGAAATGAATGAATGAATAAATACCTGTAAATGGTTGGTTGGTTGGTAATAAAGAGCTGTTGGTTGGATGGATGGCTAGATGGAACAGTGTGTGTTGCTTTCTTGTGAGGGATGGCAGCGACTAATTCCCTTACAGGTGAGAAAGCAAAAGGCTGCACTGTAACTGTATGTTACACCCAATTTTGGTCGAGGGTGAGAACAATGCAACTAAGATGACGGCTTAATTAAAAATGTGTGTATCTATCTTTCTCACCTGTAAGGGAATACGTGTGTGTGTGTGTGTACACACACATACACCCACTGTACATATAAGTATATATATATAAGTATATAAACATATACAGGGGATATGTATGTTACAGGGAATAAGTATGTATATGTGTATATATACTTATATATATATACTTATTCCCTTACAGGGAACCACCAGCCCATGCTCCATTCTTGTTATGGCCCTTCTTTTCATCTACCTCCTGCCTCAAATCAAGCTTTGGAAAAGTCTTTTGAAATATTATAGATTACGTTAGGAAAAAAACGGCATTCTGTAGCACAGGTGACTGCCTCGTACATCTGATTAATCAATGGGGTGGTTATTCTATTAAACCCAAGAGGATTTAACTGAGAATTAACTTGACCTCTTGCAGGGCTCCCATCCTTGTCAAGGTGCTGCTCTGCATTCAAGCTGCAGTCTCTGCTCCTCGGATCCGCATGCGTTCTCCCGACGTTTTCTTCTTCTTCTTCTCTGGCTTGCTCCAGCGAGGGCGATTAATCTGGCTGAAGCGTTCATGCTTCCACAGTTTACACAGCTTTGAAGCCTTCCCACTGACAGGCCAAAATAACTTGCTTGCCAGAGAAAAGATAAATTGGTCAAGGGAAACTCCATGTGCCTCAACATTATTATCCCTTCAGGGGGAGTCTGAGGCCCTTATTTAAATTCCTAAGAAGTAATCAGGGGGAAAACAACTTTTCGGCACCTTTACTGCTCACAGATTTAAAACCTATTTACAAACCTGTCCATGCTGTAAATATAGTCCATGGATATTCCACATGTGTGTGTGTGTGTGTGTACAGGGGTATGAGGTGGGCTATGCACTCCTTCCATATGGAGATTTTTCTCCTACAAAATCAGTAGCCAAGATCCTGTTGTCTATTTATGCCTGCAGAAGGGAGATGGTATAACTCACAGAAATGCAAAATGTTTTTAAAGGCATGGTACAGTTATCTATGCACTCATTTCCATTTTTGAACCTTGTGTGTGTGTGTGTGTGTTGTAATTATACATTCCCAGTTTTGAAATCTTTAATATGCGTGTGTGTGTGTGATTTATACATTCATATCGTTTTGAATCCTTTGTGTTTGTGTGTTGTATTGATACATTTATTTCCAGTTTTGAACCTTTTGTGTGTGTTTGTGTTTATACATTCATTTCCCGTTTGGAAATCTGTAATGTGTGTGTGTGTGTGTGTGTGAGAGAGAGAGAGAGAGAGAGAGAGAGAGAGAGAGAGAGAGAGAGAGAGAGAGATTTATACATTCATATCCAGATTTGAATCCTTTTGTGTTTGTGTGTGTACAGAAAAGCTGAACACCAAAATCAAAATTCAGGCTGGGCATTTTTCCTATAAAAATGTTGGGGTGGCCCTTCTGTTGCCAACAGCTGAAAAAGAGGAAAAAGGAAACACACACACACAAGACACCCCTTGCAAGGACTCTCCTCCATTGTTAAGTGGGGACGTGGTGTGTGTTTGCGGCCTCGGGACTCCCACCTCGACCCTCCTTCCGCGGGCCACCTTTTGACCGGAAGAAAGCAAGAGGCCGGCGGCCCTCGGGGTCACCTCAGGAGACGGCGGCGGCGGCGCCTCCTCCCCCCTCCCGCCCCCCCAGGCCGGGCCGAGGGGGCGAAGCTCCTCCATTGACGCGATGCATGGGCGGAGTGGGCGTGGCTCTGCGCGGCCGTCCCAATGAAAAGCTT